TTCCCCAGTGTGGCGCATTGTGACCTCTGACCCCGACCCTCGTCTGATCACCAGGCTCTGTAGGTGGCACACACCTTCTCCAGGCCTCTAGTGCTGGCAGTCTGGTTGGCATGGTGACAGGGAAGGCTAGACTCAGGGACACACAAACATAGGCATGCATGTGCCAGTTTATCACTGGTTGGGAACTTGGAAGATGGCATTTGCCTTGGGCATTGATTAGTGCACACAGGACATGCTGTCTGTCGCTGCATTAGCCGGTTACTACGTGTCAGGGGCAGTGCGCCATCCCAGCCGGGCTTAGTCATGGTCACCCACCCCTTAGCTTCCCACAGTCCCTTTAGGACAGCCTAGCTGTCACTGCAGAGGGTCCATGGCCGGGGTTCCCTAGTGCTGGGCTGTGTGATGCCTGCCTGTGTGGACGGGCTGCCCCCATGAGACCAGCTGTCCTCTGGGCACCCGCTTCGTCTCAGAGGCCTCTGCGCTATAGCAAGTCTTGTGCTCAGCACACGGAGTCAGCCCTTCGGACCCAAAAACTGGACAGGTGACAAGTGGCCACCCAGGTCCATGGTGAGCTCTTGGTAGGCAGCTCTGCAGATGGTTACTCAGCCCTGTCACCTAGACCGTGTTCCCTCCTCGTGTGACCTCTGTCCTGCTTCCCACTGCTGCGAGTGGCTCCTGGTCTGTGATGTGTCCCCTCACAGCTACTGTGAACGGTATGCCTTCTGCATGTGACTTACTCTGTTAGCTGCCTTTACTGTCACCACTGCTGTATTCAGAGAATGGCAGCAGCAGTTTTCTGTAACTTCCCCAAAGCTCACAGCCACCATGGACCTGAGACCTGGAGATTGAACTGTCCCCGTGCTCTAGGCAGCAGAGCAGTGCTGGTCACAATTGGGAGTTTGGGGAAAACTTGGTATGGTACGCGTCTTTTATAAACTCCATTTCTGTAGCAAGGTTAACTGCCTGGCATCTGTAGTTTCAGGAATTGGTTTTAAATGAAAGTCCTTTAACTGCCATCATCAAATGTCTGTGCTTTGAAGTCACTGTGAATGACTCCCATGTGAGTTCAGCCCAGCCACTCTGCACTGCCGGTAGGGAGTGAGCACATGGGTCGGACATGTGGGCGGAGGCTGGCACTTGTTTTACGATGGGCACAGTGGGCAATCGGGCTCGGCAGAGAGGCTTCTTGGAGGAGGGGTGGGGCTGAGTCTGGACTGGGTCCACAGGACTGGTTTACACATTGCGAATGAAGTTACCTACACAAATGACTGCAAGCAGCGTATGCAGGAAGGGTGGCCGACGGTGGAATGCCAGCGAGTCCCTTCACTGACCTCTCTCTCCCTTTGAGCTCCTTGGCTGTGCCCTCACATTCGGACCTCACCGTTTACAGTTAGTGGGTCATCTGTTAATCTCTGTGCCTTTGAAGCACCGTGACTTCTAAATATGGATAGTTCATGTCACTTCCCAAAGAAATTCAGAAGTGTCATTAAAGACTCCGCTACACAAGGACACGTGTTAAAGGTGTTTGTAAAGTGTTGGTTAAGACACCACAAATTGAATTAAGCATCACTGTGTTTCTCTATGTTCAGAAAAATGTTAAGGCTCTTCTGTGTTCCAGACGGCAAGCAGCAGGTTCTGAGTTTGGGCATGGACCTCCAGCTGGAGTGGATGAGACTGGAGGATTTTCAGAAGCATCTTGCTGGGGAAGACGAGACTTTCACTCCAGCAGATGCAGTTCCGAGCAGTGAGTAGTATGGGGGGTGTGGCGATCCTTTCCATGACTGCGTACAGAACATTTAATTTATCGTCTGTCTTTTTAGATTTATTGCGGGATGCTGTGAAAAATGGAGATTATATCACTGTGAAGGTTGCACTCAATTCAAATGAAGAATATAACCTGGACCAAGAGGTAGTAGTAAATACTTTCGTGAAATTTCATGAAAGGGGGATGGGAAATAGCTCTTAAAATAACTCAGTTTTACTTTTAATTTAACTATAAAAGTAATGCATGTTCACTTAATAAAATTCAAATATTGTATAATGTAGAAATGACAGTCCCTGTATTTCCAACCCCCTAAAGGGGCCGTCCTGTTCAGCTGTCGTCGTCTGCTTTACCCTCTGCCGCTTCAAGCAGGAAGGGTGTGTGAACAGCTCCTGTTTTGGGGCCACTATTTGTGTTTCATTATGTTGTAACCTCATTGATTCATAAGGGGTTTTTATATAGGAGCATTAAACCCTTTTTCCCTTATTTTTAGTTTTTTTTTTTTTTTTGAGACTTACTGCTTAGAGGGTTTTTTTAGGTAGTCATATCTATTGATCTTAATCCTTGATGGCTTTTAGGTGTCTCGTCTTGCTTAAAAAAGACATTTTCTCTAGTTGCTGAAGTTTAGTTGCTGGAATTTTTAGGTTTGATCCTTTGAGACTATAGTTCAAAAAGTTACTGGGATTTTTATTAAAATTGCATGGAATACATAGATTAATTTTGCTAAGAATTGCCATTTTACATTTTGAGTGGACATTTTACATCTGTGGACATGGTGACTTTTTATCAGCTCTTTATTCCGTTTATTTTATTATTTTATTAATTTTAATTTTAATTTTTAGGTGAGGCAACCCTTGGTTGACCTCACAGATTGCAAGGACCTTATCAGTTTACAATCCCTTATTTTTTTATTGTTTACACTTACATCACCTGTTCTTCCTAGGTGGTCTCCCATCCAAGTACTAACCAGGCCTGACCCTGCTTAGCTTCCGAGATCAGACAGGATCCAGCTTGTTCAGGGTGGCATGGCCGTAGACTCCATTTATTTTAAAACAAATTTTTTTTTTGTATAATTATCACACACTTATTTCAGATGTATTCCTAAATACTTTATAATTTGATTGTTACTATAAGAGCCCCAGTCAAATTTTGTAACTGGTTACTAGTGTGTGGTGAAGCTGTGCGTGTGTGTGGGGGTGTGTCCTGCAGTCACTTTGTGAAATTCCCGTACCCTGATAATTTACTTGCCTTGGATTTTCTGGGTAGAGAATTCAAACCCTGCTAAAATAACTATTTTGTTTCCTTTTTTTTCCTAATGTTTCTTTTTCTGGTCATGTGAAATTGGTGCCATTTGAGTAACAGTGGTGGCCTGCTCTGCTCCTGGTCTGAGGGGCGTCCCTCAAGGTGGCTGTCGAGTTTCATTCCTTCTTCTCCCTTCAGATGTAGCTGG